GTCTACTTCAATGATCTAAAATCTATTTGACTTTTTCTCGTTCATTGAAGTAGACATTAACTTTTGACACCAACGTAAAATGGCAGCTTAATGATGCAAATATGGTAATTATTTTAATTACCACATGCTAGTGTCTTGAAGTCTGGACTTTAGAAGCCATTATGTGGAACTTATTTTATTATTTTTCGTTCACTTTGTTGGAGTTGACTTTTTTCTTATAAAAACTTTATTTTGTCACTCATCCCTTTTCACTGGTCTAGCGTAACCCAACGTACTGCAGTCACAATGTTAGGGTTCACCATATAATAATAATAATAATAATAATAATAATAATCCTCTCTCTAAACCCTCTCAGTACCTTACTGGAGGGCTCCGGGAGGGGATTTCAGCTACGGAGAGGAGGGACAAAAGTGACCCACCTTTTCTATATGGATGACCTCAAGTTATTCGCCTCCAGTCGCTCCCATCTTATGGAACTGCTAAACATCACTTGTGAATTTAGCAGTTCCATTGGAATGGAGCTGGGGACGGATAAGTGTGCGGTCCTCCATGTTGAGAGGGGAAGGGTTGTCTAACTCTGAGGGCATAGACTTGTCTATGCCCGTCAACTTAAGGACCCTTTCCGAGGCTGAAACATACCGATACCTGGGTATGTCACAGAACATCGGTATCGATGAGGCTGGTATGAAACAGTCAGTTTGCGACGTGTTTTATGCACGCTTGACCAAAGTGCTTAACAGCCTTTTGTCCGGTGTGAATAAGTCACACGCATATAATTGCTGGGTCATGCCTGTCCTCATGTATACCTTTGGCATACTCAGGTGGACTCAGACTGAGCTTAACGCCCTGGATAGAAAAGTCCGCACTACCATGACGTCCCATAGGATGCATCATCCGAGATCGTCGGTAATGAGGCTGTACTTGCCGCGAAAGCATGGTGGGCGTGGCTTTCTGAGCGCGCTCACCATGCATAATCGCGAAGTGTGCAGTCTCCGTCAATACTTCTTGACGAGATCGGATGATCCATTCTATAATGACGTCATTTCTAGTGATAAAGGGCTTACCCCTCTATCCTTAGCCAACGAGCAATGGCAGGACCCGGCAGTGCTTAGCATTCCCGACCGGGAGACCGTATGGAAGGAGAAGGAGCTCCACGGGGAGGTACTACAAGGCTCTACATGAGCTCTTCGTAGATACAGTCGCCTCCCTCAACTGGCTACGTTTCGGTGACCTTTTCGGGGAAACCGAGGGTTTTGTCTGTGCAATACAAGATCAGGTTATTAAGACCAACAACTATCGGAGATACATCCTAAAGGATGGCACCGTCGACGTCTGTCGAGCTTGTCGCCATCCCGGGGAGTCACTAAGGCATGTCATCTCCGGTTGTTCGGCGCTTTCTAACTCTGAGTACTTGCACAGGCACAACCTAGTAGCCAGAATTCTACACCAGGAGCTCGCTCTGAAATACGGTCTCGTGGACCGGAAAGTGCCGTATTACAAGTACTTGCCGGAAGCCGTGCTCGAAAATGACCGCGCCAGGCTCTACTGGGACCGGGCCATCATCACAGACAGGACTATTCTTGCGAATAAACCTGATATTGTGCTGATGGACCGGGCACAGTCAAGAATATTTTTGGTCGATATTACCATCCCGTATGACGAGAACCTCGTGAAAGCCGAAACAGATAAGCAATCAAAGTATCTGGACCTGGCTCACGAGGTGACCGACATGTGGGGTGGTATGCCGACCGAAATTATTCCTGTAGTCGTCTCTGCGAATGGGCTAATCCCAGTTAGCCTCTCTGGTCATCTGAGGCGACTGGGACTCCGTGACGGACCGCTCCGGGCTCAAATGCAGAAGGCGGTGCTCCTTGATACTGCCCGCATCGTCCGCCGGTTTCTTTCCCTTTCCCCCTAACCCTCGGCCGTTTGGTCTCCCCTGCCGAGGGCTTCCATCTGGTTGGGCTTTTATTTATTTATGTATTTTTGTATTTATTTTATTTTATTAATATTTATGTATATTTATCTTTTCATTTTCATTTATAATTATATATTTATACATCCCAACCAGATGAGAAAACTATATAGATACCCCACATAATAATAATAAGTTTATTCTTTCCCCTCAAAATTTTAGTAATAAATATAAACATACAACTTAATATTAATATGTTACAATTAATTTGTGAGAGACTGGTGTCCGTACTAGGATTCCCATATAGCTTGAAGAACAGACTACCGAAAACGAATAGAGCCGAAAGGTTATGGGCACCTACGTTTAATAAGCGAAGTGTATGGCGTCACCTACTATTTGAAGTGACGACGTGGTAATACATGTAGGATGTTGATGGGCAGATGGCTCAAGACCGCAGTTTGTGGGTTTCCTTGCATTAAAAGCCTAAGTTCAGTTGTTTTTTGAAAGTTTGTAACAATAATTATGTGTTTGACTTCAAATTTAACGTCTATTGGCAACTGAGAAACAAGACTGTATTGAAAACCAACACAAAAAAATATTAATATGCATTATTTATTTATAGATACGTAGTTGATTTGAATCAACAAGAGGCACGTTGTGCGTGCTTGCATTGCGTTCCAGCCGCATAATTTCACCGTCCCACATCGCGACAAAACTCGCGATACCATCCATACCACCTTAATGCCTGGCAGTTCACCACTGTGCGAGTGTGCGAGCACAAGTTTTCTTCCTCGCACAACTTTCTTGTGGAATCGACTACAACCTGAAATTTTTCCGGACCGATACGACTTAGGGACCTTCAAGAAAAGAGACTGGTGTTGCAGCTGTTCATGGGCGGCGGTAATCACTGACCATCCGGTATATGCTCGTTTGCCCCCTCTCCTATTAAAAATTTAATTATCTGGTAGGAAGTGGGGACAAATCAACGTTCGGCTGATTACTCCTGCCCACACGTTTACCGAAAATTTTCTTTGAAATGACACTTTCTTCTTCCAGTGTGGATTGCAGTCATTAGTCATCGGTGGAGGTTATAAAAGTTGGTAATTCCTTCTTTCAAAAACTTCATCGGTCCAACAGGGAATTGTAAACTGGCATGATTCGAACGGATCTTTGCCTTTCCCTTCACTTTAACGCCTTTACCACGTCCAGACATTGTCGTTAGTTAATTGAATATCAAATTGACGCAACACACCGATATTGTCTTGAAACAGACCGACAGACTGTAAAACTAAGAGGAGTTCTAGTTTCTGGATGTTAACGCTGTTAGTCTATGCGACTCTTACAGCTTCGTCTGACTTAGGGCTCGCGGCCTGAGCCTGAAACAAGGGGATCAAGAAAACCACGTTAATACAGCGAGCGTCGATTCACCGCTAGGTGGGAGTAGCAATACGTAGCAAACATATCTGCGGAGGGGGGAAGACGGGGGAGTCGGGCAGTTGGACGAGCGCAAAATCAATGTAGAAAGAAAAATAATAGTTAAATTAGTATACTAGGTAGAAGAAGAGACTGAAAGTGATAATATTAGATTATATATACATAATATATGTGCGTGCGCAGAGTCGTCGGACGTCAGTTATGTTATGCCCATTTTATTAACAATTTTAAATCTGTGAACTTACGTTGAATTTGTTGAGTAGGTGTAGGCAAAGAGAGAGTAGGTATAGGTATTCTGTTTTTCGTAAATTGTTATTGCGTAACAACGCATTGACCACGTTTATTGTTTTAGTATAATGTATTTAGCTTAATCGAAATTTTATACTTACCTAGGTAGATTAACAAGATGATTTCAAAAAACGATTTATCTTCAATATCACTACTAAGCAAAAAGCGACAGAACTGAATCTTTCGTGGGGGATCTTCATTTTCTAAATCTTGTACACCCGTGGAGTGAAAAGGATACTTGTTTTCTCGATGCATCGTATTTCACACATTCCATGCCGAAATATTGAGGTTTAACTTACTGAGGGTCTGAATATGTGACAAATTCGCCCTACTACTCCAGTACTGATCCTAATTAGTGAGAATAAATAACGATTTAAGTGATTTACTAAGCTGTTTGTTCCTTAACTATGTGCAAATTCATTCATTCGTTCATATGTATACATATTTCATTTCTATTGAATAAAATTTTATTCACTAGGCACTACTTGAGAGTCAAAAAAGTTCAAATTTTATTTAGGTCACAAGGCGGCTTTTGCTAAATGAGTTCCCGGAAGTTAATCCGTACACGTGGACCGTAATTCTAAAAACTAATCAGTTCTAACGAAAACAATAATGCATTAGCAAAAATGGTGCATTATTTTGGTTCGTTTAAAAATAAAAATATTCGTCAGCAATTTGCTTTGTTCACCCTAATTCCAATAGTTGATGAGACAGCTGCATAAATAATACTTTTTTAATTATATTATTATTTTTAAGCTATTATATTAATTTTTAAGACGACATAAACACAACATTCCCTTGATTTTTTTAGTTTCTTAAATTTAAATATGCGTAGTATTTTATGTATTTTTGAACGTACTCGTTTGAGAACACACCTGTAATACTTTGCTCCGTAATTTTTAGTGAATACTCATAATCAAAGTGCTTATTTAACGTCAAACTTACTACTAATTTGAAGAAGACAAACGAACAAAGATTGTAGTGAAAATTAGTTCCCGAAATTTTTTCGGTCCATCTGGTTAAAAGCAAAAAAATATTTCTAAATATTTATATCGGCTGGAACGGCACTGACCGAGGACAACCCGTACACCGACTGCATCGGCCGTGAGGTGAGTCATTACGCCCTCACTGTTTAACGCACTTCGACTCGCTCAAACTATCTAAGCCTACCGTACTTATTTAAAATTTATTTTGTCTCTGGACTGGCGGCCTGCGTTTAAAATGTCTACGACTTGCAGCGGTTGTAACAACAAAATTCGCAATCTTGGCTTCATGAAATGTTCCAAGTGTAATAAACTATATGATTTAATGTGTCTTAATATTACGGAGGAACACTTTAACACTCTATCGCAAAAGCACAGAAATGAATGGATTTGCCCGTCATGTGTTTGCTCCCTACCAAAAAAAAAGTAACCTGTTAACGCCAGTGCGTTCCCCAGCGGCTTCCCTGAATGACGAATATACAATGAGCCTCAATGTCAACACCACAAGAGGGAATAAACAAAAATTGAAAAGCTCTGAGCTGCTTTCAAACGAAGACGTCGACTTAACTACATTAATTTCGGAAATTCGCGACTTCAGGGACGAAGTTAAAGACATAGTACGCCAAGAACTGAAATTGCAAACATCAGCCATTACCAAATGCTTTGAAGAGAGGCTAGGTGAATTATCGAAGGCACTTGAGTCCAAAGACTTGGAAATCAGTTCATTAAAATCATTAGTTAATGAGTTACAGCAACAAATCGCCGTCCAAGACCAACACTCGATGCGAAATGAACTGGAGATTATTGGTATGCCTGAAGAAAACAACGAAAATCTCACGCATATCGTTCTCGCTACTTGTCAAAAGCTCGGAGTACAATTATCCGAAAATGAACTGGATGAAGTGGTACGTGTAGGCCCTAAACGTTCCTCAGGCTCAAAATCATCTATGCCCAACTACAAACACCCGCGCCCAATCATAGTCAAACTACTGCGACGTAAAAAGAGGGATGAGCTTATAACGGCAGCCAGGGTCAGGCGAGGCTTGTCATCTGAGAACATTGTAAATAGCTCACCACAGAATATATATATTAACGAACGGCTCACCAAGTCTAATCGCTATTTATTTCGAAACTCAAGACTGCGAGCAAAGAACCTGGGCTTCCAATTCTGTTGGGTACGTAACGGAGGGATCTATATCAAACAAGCAGAGAACAAACCAGCTATCCGTATTCTTTCCTACGAAGACCTGGATACCAAAATTGGCCCCGAAAAAGCAAGCGAACTCTCCTAAAAGTGATATTTTATTTTTTGTTAAATTTACCGTAATCAAACACAATAGACTTATTACAATTTCTATTACTAGAACATGCATACACACTTTCACCATTGAGTTATATGTACTAGTACATAGTACATATAACTCAATGTCTTTCACACACAAAACGCACCGCACCAACACCACACTACACAATCATCAGTCCCGATTGTTTTGGCTCTCAATTAATGACTACTATCCAAAATCACTCTTGCAGTTAGTAGAATTATTTGTTATTATTAAGCGAAAAAATGTGTGACTTACATGTTGATATAGACGAAACTTTGACAGTAAAGTGTCATTCCATTGAGAGCCTAGAGCAATGTCGTAATTTATTACCCGTAGGTGTCGACTTTAAAGTTTTAAATGTCAATATTAGGAGCCTCCAACGCAATTTTGACGGTTTTTTGATTTCGTTAGCCCGACTTAATGTTGATCCAGATGTGGTTATACTAACGGAGTGTTGGCTTGGTGTAAACCCCACGATTCCACAAATCCCAGGATATATTTCCTTTTACACAAAAAATAACCTAAATAAAAGTGGAGGTGTCACCGCATACGTTAAAGATTCATGGAGTGTAATATCTTCAGAACCGTTAAGTGACCAGTGCGATTGCCTAAAATTAAATTTAAATAATAAAATTACTATTCTAGGGATATATAGGTCTCCCTCTATTAATAATGTGAAAAACTTTATAGCCTTTCTCGATAAATCATTATCGGAAATTAACAACAAGCATGCCGTGGTGTTGACAGGTGACTTAAATATAAATATAAACGGAGACCCACTTGATGATCAGTGCTCCGAGTATCTATGCTTGTTAGCAAGTCATCAACTGCTCTCTGCTATCTCGGAGCCTACCAGGGGCTCAGCCTGCCTGGACCACATCTTCGTTAGGGGTACAGATTCCGCTGTTGGTATAGTGTGCCATACAGATCTTACTGATCATGACATTTGTTTACTTGGTACTACCATCAACCAGGCGAATCACCCATCTCGAATCCACGGTAAGGTCAAAATGGATTTTAATCGGATTGTTGACAAGCTTGAGTCGACTGATTGGTCATTGATAATGAATATGGAAGATGCTAACGAGGCAGCTGATAATTTTAACACAATCTTAGAAATGGCAATAAACGAAAACACAAGTTATGTGGTGCCCAAACGGTCAGATCGAGTTATAAAGCCATGGATAACTCCAGGCTTAATGAGATGCCAAAAACACCGTGACAATCTACATCTCGAAGCCAGGAGAAACCCTGATAATCCATTTATCCAAATCACTTATAAACGATACAGAAACTTCCTTTACGCGCTACAACGAAAATTAAAGACCGAATACGAGAATAATCAAATTCAGCAAAATAAAGATAACCCAAAAAAGTTGTGGAAAACGCTCAAAAATATATGTAATCTCACACGCAACACTACCGAGGCTAATGAATTGTTGTCCGTAGACAAAGACCCTGATTCTTCTTTAAACGCTTGTAACGAGTACTTCACTAGAGTTGGCAGAGAACTGGCTGATGACACGCTCAGAAGATTAAACACCCAAGAAGACCTGTTAGCTGCAGAATACAAACCAAGAGTGCTTTGCAAGGACTCCCTCTTTCTGCAGCCAACGGATCCTTATGAAGTTGGTACGCTTATTGACCAGCTAAAAAACGATACTGCACCGGGTATAGACAGCTGCACCCCAAGGTTGATTAAACAGATAAAACACATAGTTCTGCATCCACTTACCCACATATTTAATCTTAGCTTGTTATGTGGCGTTTTTTCCTAATTGTTGGAAATTAGCAGTTGTTACTCCAATACACAAAGATGGGGATAAAAGCTGTCCTAGTAATTACAGGCCCATATCTTTGCTAAGTATATTTTCCAAGTTATTGGAAAAAATGGTAAGCAAACGTCTCACCAACTTTATAGAAAATAATAATCTGCTCTCTGTAAATCAATTTGGCTTCAGGAGGGGTAAGTCCACGGAGGATGCGGTAGTTCTACTGACAGATACTGTGTCTAGACATTTGGACAATAAACGCAGCTGCTTAGGTATCTTCCTAGATCTTGCTAGGGCCTTCGACACCGTCTCGGTCCCTATTCTGCTGCGGAAGCTTGAAACAAAAGGAATTAGAGGAGTGGCGTTGGCTTGGTTTCGTAGCTATCTCTTAAATTGGCGTCAATGCATAAGAGTGGGCTCACATACAAGTAAGCAATTAAAAATCAGTATTGGAGTTCCTCAAGGAAGTATTCTTGGTCCAATCCTATTCTGCATTTACATTAATGACATCCTAGAATTACCCATACAAAGAGCAGACGTCATATGCTATGCGGATGATACAGCCATTATATTTAATGATTTAAGTTGGGACAGCGTACTCGAGACGGCTCAAAAAGGCATGGTAGTGTTAAATAAATGGTTAAGTTCCAATTTACTAACTCTAAACTATAAAAAAACTAAGTTCATAGCCTTTCACAAAACTCTCGCATCAAAACCATTTTCGCTGGTAAACTTAGTAATTCACACTTGTGTATCTGAAGTACCCTCTAGCGGATGTAATATAATCAGCAACACAGATAACATCAGGTATCTAGGAGTGATCATTGATGATAAGCTATCATTTAAAAACCATCTAAGCCGCTTGTCGGGTAGTGTTAGGAAAACCATTTACATAATGAAAGCTTTACGACGTTGTGCTACTAAAGAAACAATGAAAATGGTTTACAAAGCACTAACCCAATCCTTTCTATACTACTGCACGCTGGCTTGGGGTGGAGCTATCAAATCAAAAATGCTTGAAGTCGAGAGGGCCCAGCGAGCAGTACTAAAAGTAATGCTGTCTAAAAACTTTAGATTTCCTACTGACGAACTGTACAAGGAATGTAAGGTACTACGGGTTCGCCAAATCTACATTTTAAAGGCAGTAATACTAACCCACAGAAAAATAATAAATTCCCCCGAATTACCTTAGCCTGTGCCAACGTCGGATCTTTCGAGTGCCGATTCCCAACTCACACAGTAGCTTTATCAAACGCCACTCACCATTTCTTCTGCCTAGCATTTACAACAAATTCTGCTGTCTCTTCCCTGATTTGAGGTCTTTGCCCACAAGTAAAGTCAAACACAAAATAACAACCTGGCTGCTACATGCTTCTTATCAGGAAACGGAAAACTTACTTTCCTTTCTTAGTTGACCCTATACATGCACACGCGTAGACTTACACTCACTCACACACACGCGCAATCACGATCCCCCCCCACACACAAACACACTCACACAGTCACACACACCACACACACACACGCACGCACACACACACGTTCGCACGCACACAAGCACTCCTAGAGTAAATTAGCTATTTAGAAAAAAAAAAAAAGAAAAAAAAGATTTATTTTTCGCTTTATTATAATTTAATCGGAGTTCTATGTATTTATCGGTGTAAACGGTGTCAGTCAAGGTTCTTGGTTCCTGCGATACAAGCCTAGAGCTTAGTGCAGAAACCAATGTATTGCTTAATTATGTAATGTTTTTTTTGGTTAAATAAATACATTTCAAATAAATACATTTCAATTTCAATTTCAATTTCTTTCTGACGATGAAGATACTGAGAAATTATTTTGTTTGAGTAATCACACATATACATATTTAGAAAATAAATAAAAATTATAACATATTATGTTACATACTGGATACTATTAGCAATTAATTGAAAAAAGGGTTTTATTGTTAAAAACCTTAGAAATACAATTTTAAAAAAGGAGCAGATTTCGTCTAAGACAAGCTTAGCTTAATATATTCTAAATGATTTTAGATATAATCCATTTTAGGCTTTGCACCAACTTTCCAAAAACCTTTATTTTAAGGATATTTGAAAAAGAGGAGAGCGAGCAGTTAGGAGCGGAGGATTTTTTCCTGAGCAGCCAAAGACGCCGTTTACTCATACTACGTCACTATCTAAGAGGATATTTCTTTAACTCTTAGCTCAAGCTAGCGAATATTTTTCATTTTTTATTATAGAATAGGGGTGACAAACAAGCACAAGGTCCACCTGATGGTAAGTGGATGATGTGACCCATAAATATCTTCATTTATTTTCCTCAATTAAGAATCCAAATGCAGATGCGTTGTTCTCTCTGATGACTAAGATGGAATGCCTCATTTTCATTAAAAAGAGTCCCCGGTTCTCTACACTCACCATACTAAACACACCAGCAATAAGCTGTTAAATACAGCTTTTGGGAAAGTTGGTCCAAAACCTAAAATGGATGATACCTTAACCCATTTAAAACATATTAAGCTAAACTTGTCTTAGACGAAATCTGCTTCCTTTGTTTTAAATTGAATTTCTAAGGCAAACATCCGCAGCCCTATCGCCTCTCCTTAGTGAAGAATAACTCTTTTCTAAAATGATATTTCTATTAGTTTGACACAATTATTTAATTTAATATAGTAACAATATATATATCAAATTTAATATTGAGATAAGTATTACATTTCTTTATTATTTACAACCATATAGTGGCTGTTTAAGAATATCCAGTATCACAAATCGTCGCGTGGTGTCGTAAGAGGTGACGGAGGCGTACTGAAACATGAAATGAGCAGAAGCATCTTCTTGTTAATAATTCAAGCTAATAAAAAGCGGTTGCTAACCCACTTGCTGGGCAACTATAGCTAATACCAACCCTATGAGGCAATCTGTGGGGCAGGCCTATGTTCAGCAGTGGACCTTAATAGGCAGTAATGATGATGAGGATTTTTAGCTTTATAAACTCGTTCACTGAAAAAGCCATGGACATTATCTGATCTTTCTCCGGGCGTGCCGGATTACAGTCCCATTACACTATCAGAGTGATGGAATAGAGTGCACCTGTGGTTGCGCATACACTTGAGTGCTATAATACTGACCTGCACAGATGACTAGTATCCGCTAAAACTGACCGCCGTGATAATAGATGATAGATATAATTATAATATCCCCCAGACTTTCGGCCACGACGGCCAGCCTCAACGGAGACTAGCCATCGGTGCAGGACAGGGTTATAGTGCCCAAGTATATGCGCAAGGACAATTGCACTCTCTATTCTATCACTCTCATAATCCGATGGGACGGTAAACCGACACAACCAGAGAGAGATCAGCCGCAAGACCAACGGCTTTAAGCGTTTTTCGAGCCACTGGGGTGAGACACCGCCAACTTCCTGACTCCGGGCAGCTACTGAGAATTTTTTGACGGAAAACTCATTAATTGATTTTTGGCTATACCTGAGATCTGAACCCAGATCCACATGATCAGCAGTCGCACTACTACAACCACTAGACAAACGAGACAGTCATGATAGATATCTATGGGCCAACTCATTAACTTAGAGCTGATACTCTCGCACTGGTTATGTTACTCCTCACGAAAGATTTCAACGTGGTAGAGACATGCTGCAACTATATCATGGTTGATATAGTTGCACGATAAGTCAGCAAAACCGGAGACACGCTTTAAATAGCACGAGTGAAATAGCAACACAACGCCGTGTTACGGTAAGCAATGAAAACCGAGGCCACTTTTACTGGTAACGAAATATTTCATCTCAGTCACAAACGCATCTGCATATTGATTCTCAATTGAGGATAAATATAGTTGTCTATAAGCCATTGCATCCACTTACCTTTGGGTGAACTGGGAGCTTGTAAAAGAAAAAAATATGTTTATTTTACTAAATCAAATTTTAGCTTGTTCTGTACTGAATGATTTTTTACCGTCTGGAAAAAAACTATGGTATAATAGGTGAACGGAATAGAGTTCTATGGTGATGATATTTTACATTATTTTTGCTTTTACATTAACATATAATGAAATTTATCTATCAATAAATACTAATTTACCACTAATAATATTTTGAAATAAGCCTTTGGTAATAAAAAAAAATTGAACGAAATAAATAAATATATTAAATACTATCCAAATTGAAAGAATACGCATCCAAATAGATACACCCCATTTTTTCCAGACGGTAAAAAAATCACTCAGTATATACTTGTGTCTGTAAGTCACTATATTATTATAGTCAACAAGTTCAAAAACGTGTTAAATCTTGTTCCCGATCCTAAAAATATGTGCAATAGCTCATTCGATTAGAATGACGTCTAGAAAAATTTGTCTCGAAGATTAATTATATAATTAATGTCATTGTTAGATACAAAAACAGCAATATAATTATATAACTATATATATATATATATATATATATATATATATATATATATATATATATATATATATATATATATAGTTATATAATTATATTGCTTATTGGTAATCCGACAAACATTTTGCAGGGCAGTGTCAGACTATCGAATTTGTCGGATTAGGATTATAGTGTACTGCCTAAGATTTATATAGCCATTGAGTTATTTATAAATCAATGTATATAGCCTATAGTCCGGATTTTTTTTACAAAAGAGTACCTTAACCTTGTAATCCGAAAAATTACAGATCCAATGATATGATTCTGTCCTACATATGACTTTTGTCAAAAAATTAACAACAAATTTTTAATATTTTAAAAAAATTATAACAAAAAAATATAAAACTTTGATAAACTTTGATCGCGTGATCTTGTTAGGTATCTATATAAGAAAGACTCCAAGAAGTAAAAAATATAGGTCAATTATTTAAACTTTTATGTCAACTTTTGTAAAAACAGAGAATGGAAAAAATAATTAATTAACAATCTTATAACTTTTTGAAAAACGACATATTTTTTTTTCAACGGGGCTTTATTTCTTCAAGTTTCCCGATGACACCAAAATTTTTCAAATTTTTAAATTAATGTTTAATACTATAAAAAATATTTTATGTGATGTACTGTTTTCAGCGGCGATGCTCATGCCATAATGGTCACGCGATGTACTATTTTTGCCGTTAACGAAAAATTATGAACAATGAAGTTTGAATTCTGGAAGTTGTGACTTTGGTATTAAAAATTTCCTCCTTATTAAAATTTTTTTGTTCAAGTAATCTTATATATTAGTAGTTTTTGAGTCATTAACGAAAAACTAAATATCTTTTTTCATTCTACTTTGTTAATAAAAATTGCAATATTTTGTGTTAATAACTCCTGGAGATACTTTTGTCTAGACATCATCCCGAATTGAATGAGCTATCGCACATATTTTTAGGAGTGTGAACAAGAATAAACACGTTTTTGAACTTGGTGCTAGACTATGTATTCCGGGAATTTATAGTGCTTACTAGCATTCTTCTCAGCACTGCACTGCGCTGTAGCAAAATCGTAGTCAGCTACGCAAACGCTACGCCTACGTTGCTCACGTATATTCGTAGCTGGCTTGCCATTTATATTACAGTACCCGGATGACCGATCTTTGCTCCTTTTTTTTTGAAATTACATTTACAAATTACATACTGATGAAACATAAATAATATTTTTTGATCTTATTGACAGAATAGAAAAAACTGAACTGGTTATTTGAATAAAAAGTCATGAGTGCAATTAGTTTTATTAAAATTTTCGTATTTTAAAAAATACAAAAAAAGGCCTTAAAATAATAGATTTTCTCACAAAAAGAAGGGAACTTGAAAAAAAAAGGAAAAAATGCCGGACCAGAGACAGGACGCGAACCACGGAACTCCGGTATCACGCCCGACCGACATTCCACCTGAGCTATTACGATCGTTATTGATCTGTCAAAATTTACCTTCTTATATTGTATCAGTTTTTTTATTTCCTGAAAACACGGACAAAAGAACATTTTCTAAAAATAAATCCTAGCTAGATCGATTTATTGCCCCCGAAACTGTGTCAAAAATTTAGTGTCCAGGGGCCCTAATTATATATATATATATATATATATATATATATATATATATATATATATATAATCAAGATCAGATTATATATCTTATATATAAATATAAGATATATAATCGGAATCTCGGAAACGGCTCCAACGATTTTCATAAAATTTTGGGTCACTGGACACTAAATTTTGTTTTAAGGCAATAATAAAAATATATATACAAGAATTGCTCGTTTAAAGGTGTAGGATAATTTGTTTCATTTTTGCGTTATACCACAGAATACATAATGGTATAAGTAGTTATACTTTTTTAAAGTCATGTATTTGATTTCTAACATTTTAAAAACTTAAATTTTATTTACCATATTTAAATCGAATTACTTCAATACCGCTTAAATTATTATGTGCAATTTTAAGTACTGATTTACCACGTTACATGTCTACGAATTTTTTTTTCTTATTTTTCAGATATGCAGGTTTCCTCACAATGGCTTTCTTGTTCGCCAATCACGCAGTAAATCAGCACTTGAAAGCATTGTTAACAATTTCATTGGTGCCGGCGGGAATCGAACCCGGGCCGTTCGCGTACTGTGAAATTTACACCGAGCGTTTAGATCCTGAGCTTACCACGTACCGTACTGTAAAGGAAATCTTCGTGTGGTTACTTACTTTAGAGGAGTTGCCTTTACTGCTTTGGATGTGGTGGTGACTTCTCCACTTACTTAATAGCATATATAACGACTAAGATTTTCTGTAAAAAAATTATATGTAATACAATTTTAAGATACGAAAAATTTTTGGTTTGGAGTTATCCTTTCTAATAGATGAGTAAACAAAAAAACTTAATATACTTGTAATAAGAAGTGCAGCTGGTATTATCAAATATTAGAGATATATTTTGTTCATCCACCAATATCTATGTGATGTGATTATTTTTTTAAATTTAAAAGAGTTACATTTTTTCATACAAGCGATCCGCCCCGGCTTCGTCTGAATAAGGTCTATTAAATTCGTGATATTTACATCTAAGCTAAACAAAGACAGATGAAATTTTTTTAAAAAAATTTAAGTTTTCCATATTAAATATAGCCCAGCTGAACTCTATTTGCTCGTTAAATTGTATCACAATCGTTTCAGCTATCTATATATAAAAGTTTTAAAATGGT